CTGAGCCTCCTCTTGGACAAGACATCAGAGGAAAAGACACAGCTGAGCCTCCTCTTGGACAAGACATCCGAGGAAAAGACACAGCTGAGCCTGCTGTTAAACAATGAACGGCAATCCTCCATGCAGCTTAAAGCAGATAATCAGCTCCAGCGTTCAATCCTGTTCTCCAACAGGCTGTCCTTCCTCTGGGGATTGTGCAACAAGAGCACACTTAAGTGTTCACGCTGCCTGCCTGGCTGGACCGAACATGCTTCACGCTGTTTCTATTTGTACCCTGATCAAAAGAAATGGGAAGATGCTCGCAGGACGTGTTTCAATGTTGGGGGTGACCTGGCCATTGTTTTGGATGCAGCAGACCAGGCATTCTTAACCAAAATGACATATGATTTCACTAAGCAGAACCCTCTAGAGAACTTTCATTCAGCGTGGATTGGGTTACAAGACATGGTGAAGGAGGGTGTCTTCTTGTGGACTACTGGCAACACAATCCAGTGGAACGTCATGTACTGGAGACCTCAGGAGCCAAACAATGCCGTGGCCATCTGGGACACTGACAAAGCAGGACAGGACTGTGTTGCCATCATCCCACCGACCAAGGTTGGAGAGAAGGACTGGTTGAACTCGTGGGATGACATAGTTTGTGGCGGCCTGCGACACTACCTGTGTGAGACAAACACTCTCATATTGACCTGAATGAAAAGTCTGAGCGATGACAGGCTGGACTATTCTCCAAGAATTGCATGTATATAACTGTATAAATAATATGTGCTGTTGTTCTTTACACATTTGAACACTTCCACTAATATCCAATCTGTACAAATGGTTTTCTACTATTACTTTACAATTAATTACAATATATTTGATGATTCCAACTGGACCTGGTTTCCCTGTTTTTGCTTTCTGTTGTCAATGTTTGCATGCAGGTGATGATGTTGAATACACTGTAGACATGCAGGACGTGTCAGGAGAAACATGCTTACACTGGTATCAATTAGTTTAAAACAGCTGGAGGTGGTGGCAAAACTATCTATTGGCTGTTTCTGTGCAAAGCTCACTGAAACATCAATGGGGGTTGAGTCTCCCTCACTCGTCTGTTTTGTCTTGTTACATCTGTAATTCGTGATAGGCACTAATGTTGGGAAGGCGTGCAAGGACGCAGAATAAATATAGTAATCGATAAATATCCTCACATGCATTGAAAGAAAAGTAACAAGCCTGTTTTGAATATGTACGGAGTAGAAAGCACAGATATTAGAGTAAAAATGTAGGGGGCAAAAGTAAAAA